CGAAAAATCTACACATTTGTAAAGTTTTTGTAAACAATTTGTAGAATTTTGTTTTAAATAAACTATTGATTTGAAATAAAATGTTCCCTTTTTAACCGACTTCAAAAAAAGGAGGAGGTTCTCAATTCGACCTTATGTTTTTTTTGTATGTATGTTACGCGATAACCCTTTTGTTTGTGAACCGATTTTGATGATTCTTTTTTGTAAGAAGAGGATACCTCAGATGTGGTCCAATTTAAACTTGAAGAAAATATTTTACTTCTAAGGGACACAAACTAGGGGGTGAATGACTTTTGAGGTAATTTTTTAAGTACTCTGTACTCATTGTTATTATGTCTTTAAATAAAGAGAAACTCGAAAATTTGTACAGTCGGTGCCCTTACTTAATAAATATCCACTACTTGTATGGCACTTAGTACAAATAGTTGACACATAAGTGAGGGCACCGACCACCGACTGTATTTCTTTTGGATCCCTTTGTTGCCCGTGGAATTACCAACAGAACTACAAGTAGTTCTATGGGCAATAAATTAAGCAGTTACACGGGCGTACGCGAATTTCAACTTTTCGTAGTTCTGACCACAAAAACAAAGTTTTTTCATGTTTTCATGTTAGAACCGATTAGAAAATGTTATTAGGAGTCGATAGAGGTAGTATCGACTCTTAATAATATTTTTTAATATTCTCTAACATTTTTCGAACCGACGTCTTCTAGCATACCAGACAAACCAGTGGAGTAATTTCACAAAAATAATTGAATATCAATTCAATAAAAACTTAAAATACAGTGAATAGCGACATTTCTCGCCAGGGCTGGTAGCTGCATCTAACTGGGTAAAAAACTTTCATAGATTTCTCATAGATGGCGCTACGACTAAAAAGTCGTTGAAAAACCAAATACAAAGACACGTTCGTTCGTTCCGTGGCTTAGTTGGTATAGCGTCTGGCACGGTAAGGTAGAAGACGTCGGTTCGAATCCGGCCGGGTCGAAGGTTTTTTTCTGAGTGTTCGATCTTTGTATTAATAATTATAAGTTTATGTTTTTTTTTCTATCATGTAAATGTGTAGGAATCGTGTTTTCACACCGTATAGTAATCAATGTGTAACCTCAATTTTACTACATATTTTTTTCAAAGTGATTAATTCAACACTTTGATTGTTATGCCGAAACAAATAAATAAATAAATAAATAACGCACACACTCAACATAGCCCCGCACTAGGGAAACCCTGTGTCGCGGGTGCCATGGACACACACATAGACAACCACAAATTACACCCAAACTCACGAGAGAAATAATTGTAGGCCATACAACTATTTCTCCCGGCCCGGGAATCGAACCCGGGACCTCTGCGTGGCAGTCCGGCATGGCAACCGTTCGGCCACGGAGGCAGTTTATTTGTTAACAATCAAAGCCATTTAAGATAACATGAGTTTTGTTTCTATAATCGTGATACATGATATCATTTTCTACTATTTTCTGCTGGTTACAAGGTGTAACACGATTTTTATTTCTTCAGTTTTTCTGAGTAAATTACAAATACCCCAACCACTTTAGCAATAGTATCATAATTTGTACGTGGGATGTGTTAGTGCTCCATTATCCAATTGAGTCATAAAAATGAACTTCATTGTTTGTTTTATTATTTAACTTTTATGGTACGTTGTTACGCTTTAATTGATTGATATACCCGTATTAGGTTAACAAGATGGCAGGAGAATCACAACAGCGCGGTCACAGCGACGATTTTTCAATTTCCACTGTAAAGAGACACTGCACCATTAGTGCTTATAGCAAAATTCGGTTTTGTTTACAGCGCGTCGTTTAGTTATTCTTGCTAAAACTCAAAGTCTTTTAAACACAATAAACATTGCTCATTAGAAACCGAAATTTGACCCTTTCAGAAGTGTTTCTTTTTGGTGTCTTAAAGAAAGTAATCGAAGTATGATATTATAACTTCTAAAGTAACTTTACTTAGGTACTTTAAAAGTTTACATAAGAAATTTAGTTAAAGTATGTTAAGTAAGTATAGTTAAAGTTATTTGATCTCCATCTCATCAGGACCCCGATTCAGCACTCTTCAATTGGATATCGTTCTCGAATAGGAGGGCGCTTTCCAAGCTATTTAAAACATTCCGAGTTAAGTGTTCGATTCGGACCCCCTACTCTCGATCTCCGTCCGACATCCGTCCGAAACAATTACTGCCGAATAAGGAATACTTGACCAAATGAAAAGACGCGTGATGCGAATGAAGCATCATACTTGATATTTGTCTTTTAATTTTGTCGAATATTACTTATTTGACAGTAATTGTTTCGGACGGATGTCGGACAGAGATTGAGAGTAGACCCCCGGATTCGGACGGATGTCGGACGGAGATCGAAAGTAGGAGTTAGTCGATAAAATAGATAAGAAAAATGAAAATCCTTTTATATACTTTTTTAAGACTTTAAAGGCCTAAAATATTGGAATGCATTAGTCTTGCTTTGAAATAAATTAATAAATTGACCAAAACCCAGACTTTTATAATAATAAGAGATTTCCATACTACATTATTGCTTTGGAAACAATAGGACGGTAACTTTAATTCGATAACTGTGTTCTGAATAACGTTTGTAGCCTTTGCCGGTCGAGAAGTTCCAGTAACCGTACGGGTGTGACGTCATTTCGGTTCGGTTTCGAATACGATAGTTTGACCTTCGATTCGGGTGTTGTGAATAAAAATGAAAAGAAATCGGTCGACAACTGAGTTATAGTAAGGTCCTGATCCGACCCCCAGGTGACGATATGTATTTTGATTAAAGTAAACAACAATAAAAAATAGTATACAATAACGAAATTACTAGAATATTTATACAGCATTTAAAAACATTACTTACTTCACGTTAAGAAAAGCCTACAACGCCATCAACAGAAACTCATTACATCTCACTGCCAAGCGTGGGATTCATGTAAGAATGATTATCACTAGTAACAGGTTTCTTACCACGGTATAACTTCTTTTTATTTTCATTTTCCCGATATTTCGGAACGGTTGCACGCTCCATGGTCACGGGTTGACTGGACGGCGGCAGATGACAGCTTTATGGGCAGACATATCTGTCTACCCTCTTGCGCTGTCGACGACTACCTTCATCGCGATTTGTTGTGGCGTTACCATTGTCACTCACTTTTTTCACACAAACCACACTTACTGTATCCACACGCGAAACTGAACTCGAGGTGTTTTTGTTTTTATTACTGCACGCACTAAGGACCGGATTCCATGCACTGGACAGTTTAAAACCATCATCACGGTTAAATGTTTTGTACTTCGTGATCTCGATGGCTTCTCGTACCAACCGTGGTATGTAGTGACGTTCTGTCGAGAGTACCTGGGGGCTATGCAACTCGATCCAGTGGTTAGTGTCAGTCTGTGTGAGATGTTGTGCTATAGCCGACTTCTGTGCATCATTGTTTTTTACTGCTCGGATGTGTTCCTTCATACGATCGACAATTGTTCGTTTAGTCTGACCGATATACGAGCTCCCACAACTGCAGTTCACTTTATAGACACCCGGTGTTTGTAAAGGAAGGTGGTCTTTTGGTGAACGTAACATTTTTCCTATTTTGGTTAAGGGGGTGAAAACAGTTTTTGTGGAAAACTTCCTTAGCGACCTGGCTATTTTATCTGTCACCCCTTGTACATAGGGCAGAAAAACTGGTAGTCTCTGTACGTCAATTTGCTTCTTCCTTTTGTGTATTGGTTTAAAAATATTGGGTTAAAAAAAAATTCATGTAAGAAGACTGTTTAGGCCATAATCCGTCACGCTAGCTCAGTGCTGTTTTTGGCAACACGTTTTTCAAAGGTTGTAAACCTTATTCGCCATACAGTTTTCGTCACGATATTTTTTTTCCTTCATCGTTAACGAGAGATGTTGTAACTAAACATTTACAACGGTACGTAATATATAAAGCAAAGTCATAGGTACATACCACCACACAGATTCAAAATTCTGGATTGACAAGCAATTAAAGCAATCGCTCTATAAGCCTACTCGTTTACAGTTTCTTTTTCCTCAATAATATGACAATTTGTATATTCTATGAAAACGACAATATCACAAATAACAAAGTAGAATAAGTAGTTTTTATCGGCAATCATCTATTAAACAATAGATAGTCATATCTAAAGATTTTTATGACGCCAATGTCAATTAACCAAAATACAATACGATGTGACCACCTTTAGTATGCAAATGTATGAATTCAAAACAGATGTTTCATAGTACACTTTTATTTGACTGCCTCCGTGGCCGAACGATTACCATACCGGACTGCCACGCAGAGGTCCCCGGGTTTGATTCCCGGGCCGGGAGAAATATTTGTATGGCCTACATTTATTTCTCTCGTGAGTTTGGGTGTAATTTGTGGTTGGCTATATGTGTGTCCATGGCACCCGCGACACAGGGTTTCCCTAGTGCGGGGCTATGTTGAGTGTGTGCGTTATTATTATTATTATTATATATGTTTGTCGACTGCGCTTTAGTAAGGATATTTCATATAAAAATAAAAACAAAGTTTTTCATTAACTAGTTCAACTATTAAAGCGCGTAGAGATTTTTATTTGGCAAACGTATCGTCCTACCCAGTCGTGTGTATTTGCCTGCTGCTCTGTCTCTAATTTCATTAATTAATAATTTTGTTATACATAAATATTGGTCCTGCCATCAATAATATAGCCACCATAAATTCATGTAGCGTAAACACAATACGCAAAATTTTGTTTTATTGACTTATTATACCCTATGAAGATTTAAAAAATTTTATTTGTGCAAAAAATTTAATAGTTAACAAGTATTTTTTTAGAATTATTATTTTGATATCTTCAAACGTACGTTTCCGTGATTTTCGATCAATACATAATATACCTAAATATACAGATATTACAAGGTTGTTAAAGAATAATCGTATATGTCAATACAATAAGAATACATAGAAATTGGTTTTAATACTTACATAAAAGCTAATCTGTTCTTCCATGTGACTGTGTAAAACATCGAAGTTTTCCGTGTCATCCATATGATTCTTCAGTTTTATAGGTTGAGGAACTTTCACGCGGAGGGACTTTTTCGATTGTCTCTGGTGATGCCCGTTGGGTTTACCACTGTCACTCGCGGCCGCACTATGATCGTTTATTTGCCCCATTTTCTCCAGATCAGGACCCGATCTCTTGGAATCTTTCATGCAACAAAATTTGTAAAAATTATCTTGGACGTTGTCCAAAAAAATAGTTCGCCTAGATCGCACTTCGGTGTCTGAGGACCGCGATTGTTGTTGCATGGCTTATATGCATACCGGTGGAGCTCCGAAGCTGGACTGACGACTGGTCCATGAGCAATCCGGCTCTATCGGTAAAAAATATCAACAATGGTGACGTAATAAGCGTCGGCTCAACGCTCACTGCAGCCGGTGGGTGTTCGTGGACTGATTGCCGGATATCACCGCCTTCATCAATATAATGTGCAGATCAAATATTTGATAAATGATTAGGCATATCGCGTGACGCTTATAAAAATCTTTTATAGCTATTTAACCTTATATCCTGTACAAAACAATGTAGTTGTTTCATTTGGTTCTGTTCTAAATGTTCTGAGTAGGAACAGGAGTTAATTTCGTTGGTTGATACTTACATAGAGTTCTCTAGTTGGAGACCATGTTTTTTTTATTTTTATAATATTAAGTGATGGGCCTAACAAGTCGTGTACATGGTGGTAAGCTACACGTCTGTCCATAACATTGCAGTACCTTCAAATCGCAGAGATCTGAGGGGCAGTGCCACTGCGCCTGGCACCTGAAACATAAGTTAACAAGTCCCATGTACCTGTAATTTCACCAGCACCCTTACCCTTTAAAACCGGAACGCAGTAGTAATGCTCACATTACTAAAATAGGTAAGGTGGCACTAGTTCCCTGGATGAACTCTGTCATAAGGAGCTCTACTGCTAATAAGGTAATTTGTATGTTGTTTTGTACATTTTGTTGTCATTTAATTGCGTTGACTTAGTTTTCCTTGTTGGTTCTGTTAATTTAATTTACCAGACTACAATTATGACAGATTTTTTTGGGTCTACTTAGATACATTTTCCTTTAGATTAAGCAATAGACACAAGACAAAATATATCCACATTCGAAGTAACTATTTTTTCGATCTAATACATTTCTTTTAAACAAACCCTCGAAATATTAGTGTGTTTGAAAAAGCAAGAATATACGCAATGTACATCCTAAAAAATGGTTCCAAAATATAACAAGAATACTTCTAAAGATTTTCTAAGCATAAGTTCAGTGAGACAATAAATTGTCGTCGTGTTTTTTTTATAATATCTAGTGACGGGACGTTGTACACCTGATGATAAGCTACACACGCCTGTCCATAACAGATGCAGTGCCACTCATTTCTGTCGCCAATACATATAAGACCGGAAAGATGTGAACATTTCAAGTAACAACTTAATTTCTCGCTACGTAATATTTATCACCAAATGAAGGTCAATGAATAAAAAAAACGTTAAAAAAATTTGAGGCAATTTTTTCAAATGACCTTAGGTATATTTAGTCGTGATTACAATACCGGTTGTGACCACATACCTCAATAATGTCGTCATATTCCCATAGTTACCTCCATGGTTTAAATTACATTGTCTAAATACATCAACGTCATCACCTGTTCGAAATATTTGTATTATTTTAGGCTCAATTTACATTGCCGCGGAACAACAGCATGGAAGATAATTTTTGTAACGAAATTGAACATAGCATAAAGAGCTCTAATTGTGTATTTTTTTGAATTGTGAACATACAAACTAGATACGATACAGTAGCTGCGGGAATTCCAGCGACTGCAGGAAAATTCTCCGGGAAACGCGCAACCAATTTTTTGGTTCGTATCCAATTTGTACGTTACAAAATTGACATAAAATACATGACAAACATGTAAATTGAGCCATACAGTCTTGTTCTTTTGTCATCCCAGCAATTTCAGAAGTTCCACATAATTCGGTTATAGCCATAGCTCTGAGACAAAAACCTTTTATCGTAACTATATTTTCTTCATCATACATATACCTATTGAAAATAAATAAATAAATATAGCTAAAGCATTTATGTTATAGAAATCGGAAATAACGACGCTACCACAAACACCCAGACCCGAGACAATAAAGAAAAGTTAGTTTCTACAATGTCCCGGCCGGGTCTCGAACCCGGGACCTTAGAGATAGCGACACCATGCAAGCCACTCGACCACAGAGACCGTCGTAAATAAATTAGTTTTCACAGATTGCAATCGCGTATGTTTTTTCAAACAAATCAACATTTCAGGCCATTAATATGTCCTGAGTCACAGTTGACTGAAATGGTAAACTGCCAATTTTGTCTATTATTAATGCCATTTCATTTTACAATAGCAAATTTCATTTTCGATTTGTGACAATCGTTAAAACCTAAGAACTCGAAACAGATCAGAACTTTATTCGATCCGGTGTAGGCAGAAACTAGTCTTCCACTTCCTACGATCCTGACACACATCTCTCGCCTGTTCAACGCGCATCAATGCTTTCATATACGCTCGTCGGTGAAGGTCTTGACTTGGCCTTTCTTTAGAACGCCCTCAATTTTAATTTTACGTCGTGCGTATTTTTATTTAAAGACGTTAGTATTGTCTGTCTCTGTGTTATAAATATAAACGCTTTCTGTCAAAAACTTAGCAATAATAATTAGATTTTTTTTTACAAGACAAAACTTCGTGGAATTACATCTATTTCCCTAGTTTTATTGACCGTCATGAAATCGGTTACCGGAAATTGCGCGGAACCGGATTCCTTTAGTTTGCCACCCTTAGAGCCGAAATATTTTCTTCAAATTTAAATGATACCAATACTGAGGTGCCTTCTTTGCAACAAAAAAAGAATTATCAAAATCGGTTCACAAATGCCGGAGTAATTGCGTAACATACATACAAAAAAACACAGTCGCATCGAGAACCTCCTCCTTTTTTAAAGACGGTTAAAAAGGAAATATTTTGGTAAAATTTTAAAAAGATATATTTATCTACTCGAGGGCTATTGATATCTTAATTAAATCGACGAAGGTCAGTTTCTATTATGATTGCTATCACGTGCTGTGTTGAAAGTATCCACTTTAAAGATAATACGTACCAGCTGTTAACAAAGTGCCATGAGTACACAAACGTCATAAATCTTTATTAATAATTTAGGGCCCTCAAGATTACCTCAATCAAAACAAATATTTTAAACTTTAATTGATAAAAATAATAGATGTTCTTATCTACTGGAAGAATTGCAACATCTTGATAAACCAAAGGACACTTTTTATCATGATTGATATCAAAGGCCCCGCCTTAAAGATTCTGCTAACAGAGTGTCATAAATAAACATAAACCATAAATATTGTTAATTAATTTATGGCATGTATTGTAAATTGTGTGAATTCAAGTTGTAAATTTAACTGTAGTTTGGAGCTAAATGTGATAAACATGTGAAACACTTCGGTACCCGCGGCACTCTCATCTACTGCTCTACAACACTATGAAAATGAATACTGATTTTTTTGTTCTAAGAAAATATGGATTTTTTATACAAATTTTGCAGGCTGATTTCACGTCACATTTCCTTCATATTCACTCACTGGCTTTTACCTATTCTTAAATTAATGCGTCCAAATTGGTCGAGTATTACTTATTTGACAGTCATTGTTTCGGATGGACGTCGGACGGAGAACGAGAGTAGAAACCCAGACTTTGGTGATCAGGCTTAAAGTGTGTGTATTTGGACATAGTTATGCAAACTAGAACCAACCCACAAAATGTTATTTTCGAGATAATTAAACTTTTGTAAAAACAGTGTGAAGAAATGAATAGGTAAGTTATTTGAGACAAACAACGTGAGTTATGTGTAGCATTGAGAATGATATAGGGAAACTATTATGTAATATAGCAATAAATAGAAAACATTATGTATCTTTTTATTTACTTAACGAGAACCATGTTCTAGTTTTCGTACTAAAAACGCCAAAGATCTACAGTACTTCAGTACATGTGACATGGATTCATTTAGCATATTTTTAAAAATACATTATATGAAGTTAAGCAGCGTGGTTCTTTTTAGCTGTTAAAAAGTTACTTATTTAGGGTTGGTGCCCTGAAGGACTTTTATTTTCTCCGTTTGGCTTGGTATATTGCCAGGATCTTTTGTAAGCGGGTAAAGGACACGTCTGGTGTTCTACCTAAATACATAACTCAATTTCACTCGAGGTGTGGGTTGATTCTTGTTTGCATATCTATGTCCATTTATGAAATTATAATAATTTCGCACCGTGGTCGCACCCTTTGTGTAACAAGGTCATATGAAAACTTTTTAGGACAAGTGTAAAGATCCTACGAACGATTCTTTTAGTAGCAGTCTACTGCTCTAGCTTCTTGTGAAAGAGAGGGTTACGTTGCTGGTGAAATGACAGGTACATGGGACTATTATTACTTATGTCTCAGTTATGGACCGGCGTTACCACCAGGCGCACGACTTGTTCGTCCCGTCAGGGCGTATTCCCATTATGTCGTGACGACAGATAGTCGTGCAGTTAAAGTGTCGTACCTTGTATATTTAGATGAAGTTGTTATATTATACCAAAAGTACGGATGTTTTGTTTTTAAATGAAATAGTTTCATTTCCAATTTCCTACAATAAGAACAAGAAGTTTTCTAATAATAACATATCAGGCAACCACACCAATTACCTGGTCTCACACAAGAGAATTCCCTATTGATGAATACCATTCGTTCTGAGGCACTTCCTAGAATATTTGACAGGGTCGCCATCTCATATTAGGTTGGTTGTGCAGTAATGTAGTTGGGATGACATCTGGTTAGCAACGTATAGTGAAACAAGAACAATTACAGATAGTGTGATTATTCGTTCATGGTACTAATAGAAGTGACTTAATAATTAAATTACAATATCGAAAATATTATGCCTACCCAACATTTCCTTTAATACGTATTCCAGTGTCCTAATAAAGATGTCACGTTGCATCAGCACGTTACACCGTACTAGAACTTAGCAATAGAGCTCCTTGTAAAAGAAGGGAAGTCGGAAGGGAAGTCGTCCAGATGGGCACAAGTTGGGTTCCGCGCCCGCTTTAATAAACATATTTTACAGATCCCTAACCTCTTGTGCAATATGCTCTTATAGCAAGCATTTAGCAGCAGTAGAGCTCCTTGTGAAAGAGTTCATCACGGAGAGTACTGCCACCTTATCTATTTCTGCCGCCAAGTAGTAATAGGAGCATTAATACGTTCCGGTTTTGAAGGGTGCTGGTGAAATTACAGGCACACGGGACTTGCCAACTTATGTCTCAGGGTGACAGGCGCAATGACAGTGCGCCTTAGAACTTTGCGATTTACAGCTCTGAGTGGCACTGCAACTGTTATGGACAGGTGTGTAACTTACCATCCGGCACACGACTGTCGTTGTTGCACGTCCCTTCACTTCATATTATAAAAAAAACTTATTTAGAAAAATCGTTTACAAATTTACAGTACAAAAATAATTTAAAAAAATTAAGGTGATTGATTATCTAAGTATTCTCGTGCCATACGATATTTTTATGCCATCATTGATTATTATCTCGATTATGGAAGTATGATTATGAAATAGAAATGAAATGCTACGTTTGTATGTACTAAGTTACACTATTTGTCTTATAATACTACGGCCAAAACCGCGGGCCGTAGACGACTAAAGTTAAAGAAAGACTGTGGTGGAGGACGTCGTGCAGTGGATGACGATGGAAATCATTAAACTACAAGAAAGCCAAACTGCTTAAATAATGAGATGAACAAATATTTACTTCGGGAAACTACTTAATTCGGATTAATATCTCTCAATACTATTTAATTATTGAGAGTACATACTCGACAGAAGAATAAAACAAATTAATATTTTATACGCTTGAATCCATTATTAATGAAAAAGTCAAATAATGGATTCAAGTGTGTTTCCTTCACTAATTTAAGCCTTGGTCGGTCTGAATTTCAATGAAAAATATATTAAAAAATTGCCGTCTGTCTTGTATGTAATGTACAATTTCTCAACAGTATCTACATCATCGTCACGAATCTTCGCACAATGATAAGATACACGCAGGTGTAACCAAGCATTAACGGCTTTCGTAGCGAATATTCGGACTTCGTACAAGATATCGCTCAGGTGACGGTACAAAGGGCTTAAACATGGATTTAACACGTTAAACATCATGCTGCCAGGTCGGATTAGCGTTGTTCACTTCGACTGTTGTACTCGATTTAATTAGACGCCATCTAAATAATCGCGTTGAGCGATGAAACGGTGTTGAAGTTTTTAAACAACTTTGGAGCTGACCCTATTAAAAACCGTAATTGTTAGCACACATGTAGAAATAAAGAAAGTCGTCGTCCATAGTCAATAGGTCTTGAAATTGTATTGCGGCCATCTTGGATTATTGCACGATAATTCGTTTAAAATTACGAAGATGCTAATGTGACCACCGGATTGACGCAATAACTTTTTGGTGAGCGAAACATACGAATATATACGAACATAATAATATACGAATCGCTTCGTGACCATAGACGCTAGTGTGGCCCTAGCATGACTATAGACACAAGTGCGGACCCAGCATTAGAATTTCATATACACATAATTTGTTTAGTTTTTTTAGTCTATATTTATTTAGGAACTTTTGTGCAATGTATATGCCAGTTTCGTCGTATCCTAAACTACAGCTTACATGTCTGGGCGGCGCTACTGGAGAGTCGATTCAACAAATACCAATAGTCTTTTTGCTTGTTTCGTGTGGGGATTGCATAGTATACAATTTATAACAGCTACGGATGTTCGGTTGATCTGCAGGTCTCTCATCAACGCCGCCTTCTACTGCTCGTATCGGACGACATTCCAGTAACAAGTGATATGCATTTTCCACTACTCCACATAACTCGCAATTAGGAGACTTTTTTTCATTAAGAAAGCAAACCAGATTAATGGATCGTGTCCGGTTCTCATCCATAGTGCAATGCTATTTTTCTACTATAGTCGCACTCTGCAAACCAAAGCAAAAGAGGATTTGTTTCATGTAATTCATAATATTTTTATAACTTTCATGTGATAAAAGCACGTTTAACGTATGATCACATGCGTCTTTATTAGGGTATGATTTGAATAAAATTAGATATTTCCGTTTAATTTGTATTTATAATGTTTTTAGGCATCAACTTTCTTTGTTTTTAACCAATTACATAGATCTAACGATAGATTTATAATATACAAAATGATATTGGAACCGCGACGAACTATGTACAAGTACTTAAAGTTTATCTACATGACAACCGTCTGCGCATTTAAAGCAATATCATGTTTATTATCTCTTTGGTATCGCATTCACACAAAATGTCAATTTACTTTAAGTGATTGGCGTAATGTCATTTTGAGTGCGCCATTATGTTACAGTTATTTGAATATCGCAATTTTTTATTAGCCAAGAGAGTATTTCACATTACTATGCCTGAATATGAGAGATAGGAGCACAATGGCATATTATATAAACACCTTTTGTTTGGAGTCAGTCTTTTTTATGACACCAAGTGACAGGACGACAGGTCGTTCGCCTGGTGGTAAGCGACACGCCTGCCCATAGAGCTTTAAATCGTAAAGATCTGAAACACATTGCCACTACGCCCTTCATCCTGAGACATAAGTTGACAAGTCTCGTATGCCTCTAATTTCACCAGCACCCTTCAAAACCGGAACGCATTAATGCTCCCATTACTTAGCGGCACAAATAGATAAGGTCGCAGTACTCTCCGTAATGAACTCTTTCAAAAGAAGCTCTACTGCTGCTAAATGCTTGCTATAAGAGCATATTGCACAAGAGGTTAGGGATCTGTAAAATATGTTTATTAAAGCGGGCGCGGATCCCAACTTGCGCCCATCGCGCGCCCGCGCATTGTGTTTTGTCATCCATATAAATACAGGGAATTACACCCGCACCAAAATTAAATGCTTCATCGGCAACATCAACCGATTCGTTCGTTTTTCTGATTTTCTAAATTCGTTCTTCTCAGACCCGCAGTCCACCACGCTGGCCCAATGCTATTTGAGGTCACACCAAACGCTGTGTACCTTCTTGACGTGCAGGTTTTATCACGACGTCTTCATTCACCGATGGCGAGAGGTATTACTAGCTATTAATCATTCACAATATGTAAGGCCTGGTTCACATTGCCGGTATGAACAATTCGTATGAAGAAATAAAAATAAAAATATTTTTAACATTGACCCAAGGATCGAACCACCACAAAGAAAAATTCGTTCGATCCGGCTGGACACGAACCAGTGAACCGAACCTTGCCATACGGGGGCTATTGAACCGGATTGAAGGACTTCTTTTTGGGTGTGTTTTTTATTTTTTTATTTAATTACATACATATAACATATTTTATGGGACTCGAAAAGACTCAACGGGCAGTGCTCAAAATTATGCTTCGCAAACCTTTTGAGTATAGCGCATATAAACTATACGCAGAGTGCAAAGTTTTGAGAGTTCGTCAGTTATACATACTTAATGCTGTGACATCTACTCATAGCACAACATTAAAATCTCAAAATTACAAACAGCTCATTGAGAGGCGTGTGTACAAAATCCCAGTGCCCCCAGTTCGATACAAACACACAAAAGCACACCCACCGAACAACACACACACACACACACACACGCACACGCACACGCGCACGCGTACGCGCACGCGCACTCGCACTCGCACTCGCACTCGCACTCGCACTCGCACTCGCAC